CTTCACATCTGCTGGCCTGGATGGGCATTCCACAAGCATCAGGTTTCCTTGGGAATGTTCTTTTATTCTACCCCAAATTATCTTCTCTGACATAGAGGATATTGTAGTTGACTTAAGTGCTGTGACATGCAAATCAACAGAAGCAGCAACACTTACCAAAATTTGGCCATTTATCATAATTAACTACACACTTCCTCAGTAATAAGTAGTCCAACCATAGTATGCACTGGTCTTCAATGTCAGCCAAGTATATTTTGTGTCTATCCTTCATGCCCATGAGCCCAATAGTTACCCACACTGGTCCCACAACCTTGCATAACGTCCTGTCACACCACAGAGCTTCTGTATGGCTTCTGGTACTCCTTTGTGATCTAGCACCTTGACACTCACAAGGGTTTGCTCAGATGCAGAATCTATGACAAAGCCTACTGTTTGCTTGACTAAATTATCTATATCGCTGGCTTTCTTTGCCAGGCTTATAAACTAAAAAAAAGAGGGCGTCTAGCAAACACCCAGACATTCGCAGGGTTCCCCGATAATTGTAGAAACTCTAGCGCGCATGCTCCCAGTGTCACGCTACTTCCGCTGTCATAACAAAATAAATATAATAGTACTGTCTGTTGTATGTCCATGTAACTACCTCGCAGGATGTGGATGGATCTTTTTTACCACTATCTCACCTCCTGTGGATGGATCTTTAGCAAATTTGATATGGATCTTCATTGGGGTCCATGGGGAGATATAAACACATATTCAGTTTTGTGTTTTGAAGTTTTTATGGGCATTTTCACATTTTTACCATTACTTCTCACCCTGAAGATTGATTTTCATAAAATGTATTAAAGAGGTTCATTGGCTTTATGGGGAGATTCAAATGTCTATTTTGCAATTTTACTTCTATTTTGCTCCTGTTGATGGATCTTCACTAAATTTGGCATGAAGGGTTGTTGGGTTCATGCAGAGATACATGCAAATTTTACAGTTTCACATTTTATTTTTTGCAGTTTTTATGGGCATTTTTTACAATTACATATAGGGGATGCAACTTTTCATGTCCTAAGATAACCTTTCATGAATCATAACATAATGTTTTTGGACAACAGGGGCCTATTGGTCTATCTCGGCTGTTCCAGACTCTAATCGTAATTAACATTAATAAAAAATCATAAAGCCAGCCCTAATCATTCATATTATAAAGCTTATAAAGCTTTTTCTTAAACTCATTTAAGTTTACTGCCTCTACTTCTACCCTGTCAAAATTTATATTTATGTCCCCTAGTCCTACTATTCTCACAGTTAAATATAAAAATGATGATACTATTAAATCACTTTACAATCTTAAACACCTCAATCAGATCCCCTCTTCTCTTAAGTTTCCATTGTTCAATAGAAAACAACTAGCGAGCTTTCAGACTTTCTTTATATGACAACCCATCCATCCCAAGCACCATTCTAGTAACCCTTTCTAACAATTCAATGTCTTCCTAAGGTGAGGAGACACTGGACACAATACTCTAAATGTGGCCTAACCAATGAAATTATAACCTCTTTATACTCGTATTCAATATTTCTATAAATACAAACTAAAATCTTATTTGTCCTAACACTAGCAACAGTAAACTGCTTGAATGGATTAAGAGACTGATCAACTATTACACCAAGATCCTTTTCTTCCATAACACTAAGGTTATTCCATCCAAATTATACTTATAATTCAAATTATGATAACCCACATGCATTATCTTGCA